AACCTCCACCTCCCAGGTTCCAGCAATTCGCCTGCCTCAGCCTCCTGAGTAGCTGGGATTATAGGTGCCTGCCACCACGCCTGGCTAATTTTTGTATTTTTTAGTAGAAAAAGGGTTTCATCACATTGGCCAGGCTGGTCTTGAACTCCCGACCTCAGGGCATCCACCTGTCTTGGCCTCCCAGAGTGCTAGGATTACAGGTGTGAGCCACCATACCTTGCCGACAATGCCTTATATTTATTGAGCACTTACTATATACCAGACTGCTCTTGGTGCTTTCCATGTGTGACCTCACTCAGTCTTTTCAGCAGCCTGAGGGCTAAGTACTATGCTCCTGTGTCATGGATTAGGTAGCATAACGTGTACTGAACACTTAACTACCTGCTCACCATCATGGTATATGCTTTGGATGCAACCTTTGATTACATCCTCCCCAAAAGTCTAATACAGCCTCTAGTACATGCCCACTTTACAGAGACCTAGATGAGGTAAACAACTTGACCAAGAGTACCTGTGAGGCTGGCACGTAAAGTTCTAGGGAAAAACAAGTCTTGTTTTAGAGAGGAAGCCGTAGGATGATGGAGAGTTCGTTCAGCAGCACACTCCTTCTTAGGTAGGTCTCACTTTTTTCCAAAGCACAGTGCACTCATCAAATGCTCATTGAGGCCGGGCGTGGTGGCTCATGCTTAGAATCCCCACATGTTGAGAGGCCAAGGTGGGAGGATTGCTTGAGTCCAGGAGTTTGAGACCAACCTGGGCAATATGCTGAAATCATATCTCTACAAAAAATTAAAAAGAATTAGCTGGGTGTGATGGCACGCACCCTCAGTTACGTGGAAGGCTGAGAGTGAGAGGATCGCTTGAGCCAGGGAGGTTGATGCTGCAGTCAGCTGTAATCGTGCCACTGCACTCCAGCCTGGGTGACAGACTGAGAACCTGTCTCAAAAAACACAAAAAAACATTCATTGAGCACCTACAGTATGTGCCAAGTTCTGTGCTTTTTGCTGGATACAGAAGGGAGCAAGCCTGGTCAACCATCTGCAGAGGGCAGGTCTTCCAGCGAGCTGGCTAAAGATTGGGAGGCTGCAATGAGTGAATCACGGTGGCGGGTACTCTGAAACGCATGGTTCTCAGACAGCTGTAGAGAGAGAAGTGGTATCCACCCTCACTCTTTCCCACCTGGAGCACATGCCATGTTTCACATTGGGTCCTGAGTTTGACCAAAGTCAGGAAAAGGATTTATAACCACATAGAATTGTAAAGTCAATTATTTTGTGGGGGGTTTCGCTCTAATAGTAATGATGACGTGAATTTGGATTAGATGTTTTTTATCCTGTGTTTGAACTACACTAACTTTTCTTTCTTTTTCCATAGGCAGTTTGCTGGATTTCCTGAAGAGCGACGAAGGTGGCAGAGTGCTGCTTCCAAAGCTCATTGACTTTTCTGCTCAGGTAAAAAAGCCCAATGTGCGTGTGCATTTGCAAAGGCTTCCCTGTGTCAAATTCATGAAGCAGTTATTATTCCAGGGAGAAGGAATTTTCGTTGAATGTTTTCCAGTAGCAGTTATGAGAAAAGACCCTCCACAGTACAATTCTAGGAAAGAGTAATAGGAGATTCTCATGGATCGTGTGCACGTGTCGAGTTTTGACCTGGATGTCGTCTTCTATTAGCCAAGCAGCCTCTTTCTACTTATGTTCGTTTCACAAGTCATAGAAACAGTGCAGCTGAATCAATCACTTTCTCAGCATTTGAGAGAGACAGTTCCACACTATATAAGCACAGCAACTTTTAAACGATGCGTATGTTTTATTTAAGTTACAAATTGAATGTGCTGATACTTTTAAGTCCTTCATATTCTTGAAAACAGAGGAACTATGTCTCTTTCCTACTCTTCCCTTCTCAGTCCTTCTTGTTGGATGTGCCATCAGGATTCTGTGAAATATTCATTTGTACTATTTTTAGTACTAGCCTAGGAGTTGCCTGTTTATTTACTTTGGAATCACATGTTTCCTGAAGTGTATTTAAGAGCACAGGCAGTTATCCAAAAGCCCTACAATGTGCCCAAAATATTAAGGAAATGCACACTTGAATGATGCCAGCTGCTGACTTTTATTAGTTTCATTGTGTCCATTCGTCATGTTCAGTAATTTGCTTGCTTGTTTCTCAGTATTGGTAATGAGTGGTTCCATGAAGCCCAGTGTTTGTAGCAAAGGAGATTTATAGAAGTCCTAGGGAAGGCTGGCCCCTCTGATCTTTCTTTTTTGCTCCCACTTCTTTTCTCAGACCCTCTTTTAGTTAGGAAATTGCTTTAGCCTTCTTGGGAAGGTGAGATCCAAGGAACGCTTGAGGACAGAGGTGAAGGACCTCACATAGATAGGGCTGGACATGGGCTCTGTAATAGAGGATCATGGGCTAAGCTGGCATTCAGCATCTGGAGACTGGAGTTTGTGTCCTGGCTCTGCCACTCGATAGCCATACTGCTTCCAAGAAAGTCCTTTGCCTATTTGGATTTCTTTATTTGCCTTTAAAACAGGAATGCTAATTCCTACTTTAAGGAGATAGCGTTGAGGGTCACATCAAACACAGATGTTGTGTTACATGCTTGGCATGGACACAAGCACCTCAGAGCCTGCTGGTGGAAGGTGGGAAAACCCAAGGGCGGGCAGTGCCCATCCTTCCAGTAAAGGTGTGTGATGGGTGAGTCACACTGCTCAGGCGCCCTCTCCGCTTCTGGGACTCGGCAAGCAAGTTCCTTATCTGAGTTGGAAATGCAAGTGTCCCCTGGAATGCCAGCATCTAATAAGAAAGAAACATAATTGCTGTGTTAGAACAGAGGGGCGAGGAAAGGACCCAGCAGCCCTGTCTTTTTAACCCTGTCCTCAAAGTCTCTACTGGGGCCCCTGGGAGGCTCCATGGGGTTCCAAGGTTTCCAGAACTATAGTTTGAAAACCACCACTCTGCAGTAAGAGGCTGGTTGGGGGCAGCTCTAGATCCTGTGTAGAAAACAGATTAGGAAATGGAGAAAGCAGAAGTCTGATAAATGGGTTATACTTACATGGTTCAATGAGGCCCTCTACTCAGATGGTGATTTGGGTGTCCCCGTGGGCCAAGAGACTTCAGGAGTATAGCAAAGCTTTGTCACTTGGACAGGGCTATGGAACATCCGGACACGTGGCCTGGAGGGCCTGAGTGGTCACAGCCATTCCATCTGCTGGGGGTCTGATCTGTGCCCACAGTTCTTTAGGGTAGAAATTACACACATTGGGGTGTGTACTGTACCCAGAGAATGACTTTGTTTTGTCACAGGGGTATTTCGTATTGGGTTTCGCCTGGCTTATCTTGTAAGACATTATCTTGACATAGTCAAAGCTTTTAAGGTCCAAGGCAAGGCCTCTATGCCGAGTCATTAATTTAGTGAATTACTATCATTACCTCAAAGAGTAATTTTTCTGACTTAGAAATAAATAGGGGGAGAAGTTACTTTCTAGACCTTTGTAGCTTATGAGGAAGGTAACCACAGAGGCTGACACTGACTGTGATTGTTGGGCCGTGGATTCCAGGGGGCTTCAGTTGACTCTCCTGTCGATTCTGATGGGGCCGAGCCCACTCAGTGACAGGAGTTGCTGAGGGCAGTCAAGACCAGCACCACTGGCCTCCATCCAAGCCAGTTTACCAAATCCAGCCTGTGCTGCGTGAGCTCATGTTCACAGGGTCTCTTTCCTAGCAGGGCCCCTTGGTAGAACCCGCAGGACATCTGGCTCAAGTGCATGGACTGCTCGATGTCACTGGGAGAGTCATGGGTCAGCAGTAGCCGGCCGGACCCTCAGCATGTTCGTTCAGCACAAAATTCATGTTCTTTACAGCTAAGCACTGGCTCCTTTGGAGTTCATCTTTGCTCAAGGTGCAATCCTCACTCAGACTCTTTCCTAGTCGTTCCCTCAAGGTGGAGCTGATGAGACCACCTGTTCCCCATCCTTAATCACTATCTGCTTCATGCACTTGTGGCTTTGCTTAATATAATACAGATAGTTTGAGAAGGGGGCCTTACCCTTGGCAACAAGTAGTAGAGCTTGTACATTTCAGCTTCTGCCCGAAATGGCATACCTTCCACTTCCTCTTTCTGCTCACTACGCCTGCTTCCCGGTCCGCCTGGAATGCCCTCACTGATGACCACTGCTACCCAGTGCTCCTCCTCCTCCTTCACGCACCTCTCTGAAATGATCTGTCTGTGCGGAGAAGGCCATCTCTAAATTATCTGACCTTTTCTTTTCTTTCATGTGCCACTAATTAACTCTCACTTTTCCATAGTGAATAACATGACAATGGTAAATATTATTAAAGCTGGCCCAGAGTGACAGAGATACCTGGTGCCCAGATACTTTGATAATACAACCTTTTCTATGCCTTCCCCCCACTTTACTATTAAGGGTGGAAATTTAGGAATAAAGCAGGAGAGGAATTATAGAAGTCCATTTGCTGTGTGAGCTCTAAACAGTTAGTAGGCTGTGCAATAATGATGAGGTTTGCTGTCTTCCATAACCCTTATCAATAGAGTCAGAGTTGGGAAATTGAGTGTTCGCAGGGGGTGTTTAATTTGGCAGATTTTCACAATGAGAGATTGGTCATTAGGAGATTGGTCATCCCTAGAAGAATACGGGAAACTGTGAGGGGCAAAGTTGGGACTTTTCCCACTGCCTGTATCTGGCCTCTTCTTCCCTCTCCCCAAGACCCACTTCCCCATGCCCTACTCTCCCCTCTGCATTCCCCTGTTGCCCATTGAGACAGGAAGTGGCTGGGTGCACATGACAGCCTCTCAGTTCATGTGAGAGCTGATTGCATCACTTCCTGTCTCAGGCTGAGTTCTGAAAGACTTGCCTGAACCCAAGTGTAATCCACACTCTCCAACCATCCACAGCCCATTCAACATAGACCAAGAAATCCTGACTAGAGCAGCTTTGCCCATTGCTTTTCTCTTCGTATTAAGTTAAGCATTGTAGTGCTTTCTGTGCTGAAATAGGAAAATATCTCTTTGCAAAGGAGGTTTGATACTTTCAGAGTGGAGAGGCTTTGCATAATTCCCTTCCAGCTTTGATGCCCCATGTCAGAGAAGAAAAATGAGCTTGGAAAGAAAAGGGGTTAAAACCAGTGGGGATTTCCTTCATCAGAAGCCGAGATGGAATCAGAGACTTGTCAAACTGAGAGGAAAAAGAAGTGAAAAATGTACTGTGGCAGTTTGGAGAACAAATAAATCATCTTGTAATCCAGACCAAGTGAATCAAAGCATTTATTACTCTTTGGTGGCAGTATCTCTCAAGTGCAAAACTTACTAAAAATGAAACGATTTTGAGTTAAATGTCAGGAAAAACTGCAAAATCAAGCCAAGCAAAGCGGCATGCACCTATGGTCTCAGCTACTTGGGAGGCTGAAATGGAAAGATTGCTTGTGGCCAGAAGTTCAGGACCAGCCTGTACAACAAGACAAAACAAAACAAAACAAAATTGCAAACTCAGAGTTGTTGTTATTATTCATAGCAACAAGTAACAATTTATTTTAGCTTCTTCTGGTTGACAAAGCACTTCCACCTCATTATTTAATTTGAGCCCAACAGCCTTGAAAGCATGTTTTTTCTTCTTTAGTACCTCTTACAGGTCAAGAGAGGAACTTGAACTTGTCCAAGGTTACAGAGCTAGTAGGCGGAATTGCTGGGACTTGATCCAGGGACTTCTGACCCGAGATAACAGATTCTTTCCTCTGCAGCTGCTCTTGTCTTGGGTTACAGTTGCTGCTACGGTCATTTTGCACCCAGCACTACTGTGATATGCATTTTCCCCCGTTATGGATTTTGACCATCAGAATTAATGCTTTCTGTAGATTTTTTCCCCTTAAAAGTCTTTATTGCCTAGATGGAGGTTATGCTCAAGGTATATTTTGCCCCCAGTATTAAATTTAAAGCCACATTTTAGGGTGGAAATTGGTAAAATGAGGAAGGTAGGAAAACTGAGTCTATCTATGAAGTTCTCGACCTTTTGAGTAGGAGGGCCTTTTAACAGCAGAGCTTTCTGAGCACACCCACATAGCTGTAGCTACTGAGGGAGAAAACAGTGTATAGATTGGGAATACCTTGTAATATCTCTTGGTTGAAACTCACCAGTCTGTTGGTAAATCAGGCTTGAATGATCTAGAGGGGGAAGTTCTCGGGAAGTTTCTAGAATATTTGCCAATATCATCCAAAATGGGTCTCCTTCTTCTGTCTCTTTGTCAGGAATGTAAGAGATGTGTGAAATGCTCATATTCCGCCTCAAGGCTATTAGCCCAGTGAATCAACTGCTTTATCTTCAAAGGCTTTATTAGTAATAACCTTTGATTGATAGCATCATCATGTTTAGTTCACTTAAACTGGAGGAAGAGTTGCATTGAGACGTCGAGTGTGCATTGAATGTGGCAAATGGAA